GAGAGAGAGAGAGAGAGAGAGAGAGAGAGAGAGAGAGAGAAGAAATCGGTGAAAGAGAAAGTTTGTCAAGATCATAATACAAAGCACCCTTCTGTGTATGTTACGACTAGTTTGTATGCGGTCTATTCGTTGTCAGTGGACGTTGTTTATTGTAAACGCTTTACACCTCCATCTTTTCATCCTCTTCTCTTTTGATCGTTTTAGGGGTGATCATTACTTCTTTCAAGCAAAATAAGGGACAAACTAGATAATACATCTGACTCGTTTGGGACTCGATTTCATGCCTTTGAAGTGGGTGGTTGGCGAGTGCTTTGATGAGGTATGCTCCTTCTTTCCTATTAAGCATGTACATGCATATCGTCCTTATCTCCCTTCCTTCTTTTTAGTGTTTATTACAAATTACATTTCTAATCTTCGGCAGTTTTATTACCTTATTGTGCTGCAAGTGTCGTAAAACGTTTACTAAAAGGGATTTCTTTTGTATATTCCTATGGCGACATCTTTGATTCCTTTCTTTTATTAAAGGAGTGGCTTACCTTGTGACTAAAGTAAAAACCAAGATTGTTTTCGAAGACCTTTTATTTTTGGAGCTGATGGCGTCATCTGTATGTAAATCATTGTACTGGACCTCTTCTTAGAAAGTGAACCTTCATACCGCGTATTATCTTTGGCAAGGCGAAGAGTAGTCGGATGCGTTGAAGAAGAGCTTATGACATACTGACCCAGTGTTTGGGGCAGTTCGCTGGAATGAAGTTATCGTTATCACGTCAGGAGAGATTGCACAAACTGCTACAACAGCATGCGGGATTATGATTTAGAGGGCACTAGGTGAAACACTTGACCAAATACAAAAGAAAGAAAATTAAGTATAGAAATGGTCACGGTGTATAAATGTCTTTTAATTATTTTCGTCGTCCCCAAAAAGACAAAATTGTATAGGTGCGTTGAGCGGTAGTGTTTCACAATCCAAAGTTATAGGGGATGCCCACATGCGCGATCAGGTCGGGTCGGGTCGGGTCGGGTCGATCTGGTAGTCGGGGCTAGCCAAATTGAGGGCGCAAAACGGCCATCGTGGCACAAACCGATCGACTCGGTCAGTGACCTACAAAAACAAACGCGTTTGTTTTCAGGTCTGCGAATCGCGCGATCGGGAGGTTTGCAGGCTATCACAACAAGGCTGAGTCACGTGTCCATGTTGACACTCAAAATCCCTCTTTGAAAAAGTGCAGACTTTGCGAGCAGTAACCCTACTTGTGTGAAAAACAATAAAAGCGAAACTAACAAATTGTGCTATTCCTATTCTTCTTCTGGAGAAACAAAAGAGAGCTTCAAAACAAAGACTGCAGCTCCATCTGAACCAAAGCTCGGATTTCCGTGGACACTTTTTTGGCCGAGTGAACTAGAGCTTTCTTCTTATGAACGATCTTTGATGATAGAAAGTTATCGATATAACTACTGTAACCATGTTTATGGGATTCCACGCTGCCGCAGCACTGCAACAGGGAACTGCGGGGAATGAGCCCTGGAAGTCATTGAGGTTAAAAGTTTTTTTATTTAACTTCCAGGTCGTCGAGTACAATCGCAGCGGGGTTGTAGTGTTCATTGAAACCACAAAAAACGACCCGACCCGACGACTCAACCCGACGACCCGACCCGATCTGCTCTCGCTAGTGGGCACCCCTTACTAGGATCATAGAAAAGATGTAAGGTCTCTAGACTGGCTGCGTTACGTACTGTCGGTGGTTGTTAGAGCCAAATCATGTAAACTATGAGACTTTTCACTCCACTATTATAGTTCCACATGCCGCTACAAAAAGTCTTCACTCTATTGCTGTAAATCTATGTTGTGTAGACTGTTCTTAGAGAGTGACACATCTTGTTTTCTAAGTGTATGACCAAAGCTTGGTCTGAAATAGCCTTTATTGTGAGAAACAAAAACAATAGAAATAATTAACCCTCTCAAAAGCTATTCTACCAGCTTTAATGGACACCTCTACTAATGCCAAGGACATTTATTTTTAATCTTTGAAAAACATTTTTAACGAGCTGCGGTAACGTTGGTAGACGATATCATTCCTGACCAAATTATCGCCACCCTGTCTGCCAAAGCCGTCCGTGTTAATGGTACACTTCCCTGCAGAAAGACAGAGATACCATGTAAAGTATTTTATCGTGGGCAAAGGTATGCAACAGAATTTTGTTGCTGCTGCGGCTGTAGTTTGTTGTTGTTGTTGTTGTTCTTGTTCTTGTTGCTCTTCTTCTTCTTCTTCTTCTTCTTCTTCTTCTTCTTCTTCTTCTTCTTCTTCTTTTTCTTTAATGGGCTCTTCTTGAATCTCGGAAAAAAATCATGTCTGTGATAACTACATGTATATCATAATATTGGGAACAGATTTTGTTAATAAAACGGTACGTTTCTGCGTGTTTTCTGAAGTCAACATGCATTTTGGGTGATTGTGGGATTGAAAATTAGGGGCGGAAGGCGTGAACTGAAAGAACATTTTATGAAATATCCTACTTATTACTGATTTCAGTTTACAAAGATCATTTAAGACACGAAAAAGTCCCGAAACGTTCACAACTTTGGTATAATCATAGACAGAATTAACTGATGCTTCTTTGGGAATTAAAGTATCTGTTCAAAGGAACTTTAGAAGGATCATGTCATTGTGATTTCACAATAATAGATAGCATTTCACAATAACTACCTGTTTGTAGGCAAAGATGCGCCTATGTAGGCCTATTCCCCCAGTCTCTATTGGACGTGCATCGTTGCAACCAGTTAAGCACATGTAATACATGTATTATTTTTCATTCCGATTTTTTAAAATCACTTTGTTCTTGGATGGATTGATGAAAACAGAGTTTATCATTTTACTTTGAACGGTGTCTAAACTAAGAGTGAGAACCCGGATATAAGACTAGCAACTTTTCCTCAACTTTTCCAACTCTTTACAGCTAGACAAAGACAACTCAGATCAAGTAATAACGGATATGTTGTCAACTAATATCCCGTGCCCATGAAGGTCACCGTCGGTTTCATTCGGTTGAGACACGATGGTCGCTTTTCGCCCTCAATCTGACTAGCCCCACTTACTAAACCTAATCGAACAGATAGTGGCAATGGGCACTGGGTGTAAGATACCAGAGAAGTTTGACAGATCAGTTGTTGGCAATAGAGAACAACTTCGACTATAGTATAAGTTCAGCCAGTGGGGTGACTTGGCTTCTTTAGGTCCTCGTTCAGTATGTCTATGATAACAGACACAGTACAAGAAGTAAACATATGTGGAATACAATACAATGCTTGTCGTATTATTAAAGAGGACAATATAATTTATTTGCCGTTTCGTTTTCTGACTCTTGGCGTTTACTCATGTGTTTATGAGGTGACGTCTTTCTGTTCGTTTTTTGTGTGTGTGTGTGTGCTGAGTAAATTTGTTTAGGAGAGATAGCGGGAGAGGAGAAGGAGGGAAAAGAAGAAAGGAGAGTCAGACAGACAGACAGACAGTCAGACAGACAGACAGGCAGACAGACAGACAGAGGGACAGACAGATAGACA